AAAAAAAACTGATAAAAATTTTTCATTAATGCCAGCACTGGGTATACTACCTTGAATACAGTTTTTTTTTTTTTTTTTTTTTTGTAAAAAAAAAATACAATGAAATCCAATTTGTTTGGCCAATTTCGTTTTTGAAAAAAAAACAAAATTGGCAATTAAGAAAAACATACAAATTGGATTCACATATCCACGTATCCAAGGTAGGACACTCACGGCTGGAATTAATGTCGATTGCAACGATAACGACGAAGGATTTAAAAATTTTTGCATAATTTTTGAATGAAAATTTATAAAAATTTGATTTTATAAACTTTGTATTTTTCTTTTACTTAACATGCACAATAATAAGTACTTTGGAAATGCGAATTTGGATGTTTTTTTGGTTGAATCAATTAGCATTCATAATTTTGTTTGAAATTAGAAAAGTAAAAAGGAAAAGAAATTAAATCAGATTTGAAATAAAAAAAATCTTTAATATTCAGTGCTTGAATTATGATTATTATGGTAAAATAATTGGTTGGAGAAGAAGGGGTTAAACAAAAAAAAAAGGAAAAAAGAAAAAATGAATCAGAAATGAATCAGATTAGCGCTAAACAAAAACCCAAATTTACTGAATAAAAGACATTTTGAACAAATTGAAAAACTGAAGAATTAAAGAAGAACACATCATTAAAAAATAAGTATTAAAAAAACGTACCGGTAATTTAATGATGATGATTATTTTTAGCCATTATTTTCATTTTACCGACATTTTAAAGTAAAATCATTTCAATCATGTTTCTTTCTTTCTTCTTACGATTATGATTTAATGAATTGTAAATTTCATTATTAAATGAAAAATGAAAAAAATGAATGATTGATTCGAGTTTAAATACCGAAACAAGAACAAATTTCAAATGAAACTTTAGCAAAAAAAAATCAAGTTTGACATATTTTTTCTCTGGCATTCATCATTCAATCATTCATATCCAAGAAACGTTAGGAATGTTTGTTTCTCTCTGTGTGTGTTTGTGTTAGTCAATTAATGTTGATTAGTTAGTTAGTTAGTTAGTTAGTGGTATTTTTCCCCCCACTTTTGGATTTTTTTCCCCTTTTGGATTATTATTATTTTTTCAAAATGAAATATGCATAAGATTAATAATAATAGATAATGATGAACATCATCATCGATCGATTGATTGATTGATTGAACCATAACAAGCAAACAATTGACAATAGTAGGATTGTTTCTCTCTCTCTCTCTCCCCCTCTATTCTACACTTTGCATTCATTCATTTTTCATTTAATGATTTTATTTTAATTAGATCATCACCAGGTATACCGTGTTTGCTATTTTTTGTTTTCTTTTGAAAAAAAATTCACATCAACAAAATGTTGTTTTGTTTTGTTTTTTTTTTGAAAAAAATGATCTTTTTTTGTCAAAATTGGAACAAATTTTTGTTTTTCAATTAACAAATCAACTCCCCCTTCCCATCACCACCAAAAAGAAAGAAAAAGAAACATCCATATTGCACATCCATTTTGTTGTTTTGTTTTTTCGTTTTTTTCGGATAAACTAAACGATCCATAAAATGATCCATAAATATACATGCAAAAAAAAAAGAAACACTGTTAAGTCATTGATTTGAGTTACTTGTGTGTAAATAGTATATTTTCTCCTTTTCTTCCTTTTCTTTCCTTGACTTATTATCATTTGTTTTCTTGTATTCTGGGTGCGAGAAAAAACAAAAAAACAATTAGTCTTGTTATTCACACATTCACACACACAAAACACCAAAAACCAAGTGAGAAATCATCAGTAACCAGTAACAACAACAACAACATTATTAACATGAACAACATTTCTTGCTTTCTATATTCACATTCTTTATGTAATGTTGTTGTTTTTTAATCTTATGGTGGTGATTTCTCTCTCATTTTCTTCCACAATCTTTCTCTCTCTCACGCTATTTACACTGAACAAACTGTGTATGTAAAAATAGTAAATAGTGGAAATAAAATCGATGATAATGATGATGATGATAATGATTGTTATAGTAAAATGTTTGGCATTTAAAAATACAAAAATATAAAAAATACAAAATACAAAAAACATCTTGATATTGTTCGTTTATCATCATCATCATTATTATTATTATGAATGTTAATCATTGAAAATACAAATTCATTAAAACATTATTTATCATTATCATCATCATCATCATCATCAATGATGAACATCGCATTATTATTATTATTTTGAATGTTGTTGTTGTTGATGATTATAATCAACAACAACTAATGAACAACAACAACAAGCAAACAAACAACAACAACAAATGAATTTTTTTGGTTTAACTGGTTCAATTCAAGATTTTTAATAATAATCATTATAAGTGTATGTATGTATGTATGAATGTTGATGATGTTTGTTTGTTTGTTGTTTTGTTTTTTGCATTTGATGTTCATCCATGCATTTTTAACAATGATTTTTACAATTACAATTAATCAATGTTTGGATCGTTTTGTCTGTGTTTGTTTGATGTGTGTGTTTGTTTGTGTGAATAAATGGCAATCGTGGAAATGGAAAAATCAAAAAAAAAATTTGTCCATTATGTTCAGTTAGGAATTTCTTCTTGTTGTTGTTCAGTTCGTTTTACTGATTAATTTATCAAAATCATTATGTGAATAATGTGAATTTTGCTGTATAGTGAAAATAGATAGTGAAAATACACCAAGAATATTGTTCAATATTTTTTCCTGTTTGTTAATGATGATGATGATGATCCATTATTTTCAATGGTCATAGCAATGAATAGATATTGATTTTTTTTTGTTGTTATCCTGGATTAAATGAAAATTCCTTTCCTTTTCTCTGATCATCATCATCATCATCAGAATTCAACCCTTTAATTGATTTTTTTCCTTTTTTTGAATGGAACCAAAAAAACAAAAGCATTTTTTACCTTTTTTCACTCTCTCAATCCTTTCTTTCATTCATTCATTATGTTATTTGTCAATATGAAATTCCTATGTTGTTGTTTTTTGTTGTTGTTAAATATTTGCAAACAAACAAACAAAAAAAGCAAAAATCAATCAAATTCTAGTCAACAGCGACCGAATGCAAAACATCAACTTTTTTTTTCGAAAAATTTTGAAAGTAACAAGTGAAATCCAACCCGCATTTATATTCGTTTTTTTTGCCCTTAAGAATTTTTCTGTATATGAAAATGTTACAATGCAAGGCAACCAAAAAAATGATTGTAAATCAACATAAAAATGATAAAGAAGAAAACGAAAATAATAAAGAAGGAAAACCAATATAAAATTGTTGTTGTTGTTGTTGTTGATGTTTGGCTATATTTTTTTTCTCTCTGCTGTTCAAATGAATCGATACTTTTTTTTATCGATCCAGAATAATTCCAATAATTTTCTCTCTCTCTCTCTCTCTCTCTCTCTCTCTTTTTTTTTATATGAATGAATGAATCGATCGATCGATCCAAACAAACAAACAAACAAAAAAAATCGACTCGATTTTCATCAACAACATCATCATCATCATCGATAGTTATTTTTTTCTGGTTCATAAAATTAGCCAAAATGAATGAATGAATGAATGGAAACTTTTCAAGTTGATGATGATGATGATGATGAACATTGAAAATAATAATGTAAAAGTGTGACTGTAGGGCACAACAACAACAACAGCAACATTTAACAACAACAATCTATCCATCCATCCATCCATCCATATATCGACCAATATTGGATAATAATATTGGATAATGAATTAATGAAATAAACAACAACAACAACAACAAGCAACAACAACAACAAAATGAAGAAAAAGAAAAACACAGCAAAACACTGTCTATGCTTAAATGGATGACAATCCGTACTTTACAACAACAAACAAACAAAAAAAACGAATCATTTA